CCCAACATAGTGCAATTGTCGCAGTTTCGATGGTGGGGAATTCTGAACCTCTGTAGTAGAAGCAAAATTTTCCCCGCCATAGTATAATTGTCGTATATACGACTTCAGAAATTCTGAACTGCTGTAGTATATACAAAATTTTCCCCACCATAGTACATCTGTCCTATATACGACTTCGGAAATTCTGAACCACTCTAGTATATACAAAATTTTCCCCGCCATAGTAATCTGTCGTAGATACGATAAATACACCGCTGTAATAATAAATCCGACAGAGTAAACTAAATTAACGATATCAGATATATTAACCGTTATTTCATGTACCAGCAAGGCTTCGAATAGACCAGTATTTGTCCATCCTCTCAAGGAGAAACATCAATCTATCAGATAAGAATTTAGCAGGAGAAATCTATACAGCCAACATACATATATATCGTCCCTCTAAAGAACGTGAACTACACGACCACCATCTATAGAGAGAACGGGCTCTGAGCTGACAGAGGCAGCTATGAACAATACCTGAAAGATAAAAACGCACTGCATAATCTAAGGAGAGCAGATCAACTGCGTAAAAGGTATAAAACCATTTTAAAATTAACTTAGTAAATAAAATCAATAAGGTTTTAAACTTTAGTGGTAAATTTTAGTGCCCCAATTCATTTTTAGAGGGGGTTTTATTGAGACAGTTGAAAACTTTATCTGAATTTTCATGTTTTTAGATGGAAACATGTTTAATTCTTATAATATCATCCATCATTTCTTAAGCAGAAATGCGTAAAGTCACTTGTGTTAAGAAACCACATGTAAGATAATAATTTTTAACACTTATGGTTAATTTTTAATATAATTTAAATTAAAGAACTGTTTTTAGATGCAGTTTGGTAAAAAGTATAAAAGGATGAAAAAATAGCCTTAAGATTTCCAACTTTTTATCCTGCCCCCCCCCCCCCAAATCTTCAACAATCATTAAAACTTTACACCCCTGCTGCAATATTATAATATAGATATGATATACATAAATATATTTCTTTACAGCTATATACATATCCTATATCCAGTCATTTAGACTTCTCAAATTCATCAAAATATTTCTCAATCTAGGAAAGTGGAAAACAAGTAAATCAGAAATGCTGAGTAGACAAGAATCTTATTCCTAGATGCTCATGCTTAATATAGTTAAGGAAGTAGGTACAAATTTAATTTAATTCTAAAGGGACTGTAAACGGTATTTCAAGTAACCCTCAATTGATAGTGTCATGTCCGATTCATAATGGTACTCTTAAAAGCTTTTTCTGATAAGTATGATTTATATCAATGTTTTTGTAAACTAAGTATTTTCATTTGTGGATTTTCTTACTCCATAATTGCAATAGATAATTAAATACTTTGTTAAGCTACATAAATCTTCCACATTATTAATCAGATGAAGGTTTGTGGTTTGGCCATGCCCTTTTTTATTTTTAAATGGAGGGTCACTTGAAATTACGCTTACAGTACCTTTAAGTAATTCCTTGAATATTTCAACAGATCTGCAGCATCCTTATTTATTATTTAATCAGATTTGGTTTTAATATTCTTTTATTCAGAAAAAAGTTAAATTATTTACCTAAATTATGTCTACAGTTCTCTTTAAGGAGAGCAGGGTAAACTTTATTAAGCAGAATTAATTTTTAAATTTTGCAAACTATTATTTGATAAAATATTAACCCCTTGCCATAGAGCAGTACATCTATATATATAAAGTATAGTAGTCTGTGTTTGTTTGTTGGTTTTGATGTCCTATCATAACTCATGGACCCCTGGACTGATTTGCCCCAAATTTGTTTAGGGAACTTGAAATAACCAGGGGAATATTCTTATCCTGGTTTAAAACTTCTAAGTTGAGTGGATTGACTTTTATAGGGAAAACTCCAGGCAACGCCAGGTTCCCAATCTAGTGCTTCATTATATAGTAATCTCTATTTGCCTGACATAACTCATAAACCCCAGGAAATTTCTTAGCTTGGTTAAAAAATTCTTAATTGAATTGGTTGCCTTGTATAGGGAACATAATATAACCTACTATATAATAAAGCTCTTTGGTCATGTACATTGTACATATATTTGTAATGTATATATTTATATGTTAGCCATAGCTGGCCAAAACAGCCAGACCCAATTTTCTGAACATTTCTGTGGGGAACACATGGGTACCCTGAGTAACACCAGCTAATAAAATTCGATTTTTTTTCTTCTAAAATCGAATTTTATCTTCTAAAAGTTCCAATTATTTTCCACTGGCAACGCCGGGCACTTAGGCTAGTATATTATAAAGAAATAAACTCCGTTTGTCTGTTTGATTATATGTCCAATTATAACTCAGGAACCCCTTGACAGATTTGCCTCAAATTTTAAATTGAGAGGGTTGACTGGAATAGGCAAAGCTGGGTTCTTGAGCTAGTAAATTATTAAGTAAATGATTTTTAGTAGGTGGCCTCATAAGCTAGTTCTGACTAGATTTAAACTTATGTTTTTATTTTAGATCCGGATGCACAGAATAAAGGTCTCTCTCCGGCACAGATGTCATCACCTGTTTCTATGGTACACTGCAGAGATGTTACCATTCTAATTCAGCCGGAAACCAATATTATGGAGTGAACAGTGTACACACAAGAAATTATGTTAACAGTCCCTTTAGGCTGTAAAGTTTCCGGAAAAGTTATATGGAACCTAATGTTAGATACTCAAATCTCGATTGCTTGATCTTGATATCCACTATGGATCAAACATTGATCTCAATATCCACAATACATGAGTTCCTGTAAACCTGAAGAATTCAACTATTTGTTAATGCTAATGAACACGTAGAATTAACATACTCATTTTCTTGTAAACCTGCAGAATTGCAGCATATATTCTACACATAGATATCAACTATTTGCATATATTCTTGTAAACCTGTACAATTCAACTATTTGCATATATTCTTTTTATCACAGATTTTTCAAGCACAAAAATACATTTTGTTACTTTTAAACCATTTTTTATTTTTGTAGGCACTAGGCAGTATGCAGGGGCGTATACAGCATACTTCTTTCATACTCAGGGGGGATTATAGGATTTTTAAACTTGACTTAACTTTAACATCATAGTTTTTAGAAAAAACCCCCCATGAAAAAATCCTGTAGTCACCCCTGAGTATAGTAGTAGTATGCTGACAATTCGGTGAGAAAGTCTACGATGTAGTATGTTGAATTCGGTGACATTTTTTCCGATATAGTATTGATATCGGTGTATACCTCTCCGATATCGAATGTAGATTTTGGTGAAGAAGTCATCGCTGTAGTATATACTCCAAAGCACCGATGTCGAAGTGTAGATTTTGGAGTTCATTTGTGCGCTGTCGCATTTACGATTTCGTATATACGACAGATCTGGGTGGGATCCTTTTACCGACCGAGACCGACATCGAACCAGGTGATCGGAGCTCCGCCCAACTCCAGCGAAGCTTGTCGTAGAACAAGGCGGTATAACCGCCGTCGGTATTTATGTTAGCTGGGAGATTTATTTTGGAAACTGAGGAACAGTAAAGAAAGCTTTAACAATATTGTACACCATAGGAGCATTGTACCAGAGGTCAATATGGTCTTATTTCGAAGAAATAAACGATTTAATGTTACGCTTTTTTTGTCTGATTACCAATTGAGGTGGTGGAGAATGGAGATTACCAATTGAAGAGCACGCATGCCGCAAAGCACGTTTGGGTGGCGGTGATTAAACTCATTGAGGACTATACTGCAGTCTGCACTCCCCCTCCCCCCTCGATATTGTTACATCTATATAAATGGCTTATTTAATGATTTGGCAAAGATCTAAACTAGTTTATAGTTGCAGAGAATCGTGAATATAAGGAAACAGAAAAATTAAATTCCATACAATCGTCTATGAAGTCTCATCTTTTGTGGGTAACCCTGCAGTGTGTTCTTAGCTTATTTGACAGATGCTATCTCATTTGGACTACTGCCGTTTGAACTATTGTTCATTTAAACTATTGTTCATTTCAACTATCTGCACGTGGGACCACGTGAGTAGTTTAAATGAACAATAGTTCAAACGAGTAAATAATTGCTCATTTGAACTATTTTTTAGTTCATTTGAACTATTTTCATTTGAACTATTAAAATATTATTAATGAAATAAACAAAAAATAGTTCAAATGAACATAAAAATAGTTCAAATGAAAAAAAATAGTTCAAATGAATAAAAAAAATAGTTCAAATGAATAAAAAAAAACAGTTCAAATGAACAAAAAAATAGTTCAAATGAACATAAAAATAGTTCAAATGGACAAAAAAAATAGTTCAAATGAACAAAAAAATAGTTTAAATGGACAAAAAAAATAGTTCAAAGGAACAAAAAAAATAGTTCAAATGAACAAAAAAATAGTTTAATTCAAACTATTTTTTACCTAACCTAACCTAACCTAACCTAACCTATTTTTTAGTCCATTTGAACTATTTTTTTTTCATTTGAACTATATTTCATGTTCATTTGAACTATTTTTATGTTCATTTGAACTATGTTCATTTGAACTATTTATGTTCATTTGAACTATTTTTATGTTCATTTGAACTATTTTTATGTTCATTTGAACTATTTTTATGTTCATTTGAACTATTTTTATGTTCATTTGAACTATTTTTATGTTCATTCTGTGTAAGGTTTATCTAATTAATTGTCATGAATATAACTTTATGAAGATATAAAAAAAATTTTAAAACTGAATTGGGGTAGAAAAATAGTTCAAATGAGCAAGAAATGCGTTGATTTAAACTACAGGATATGACGTCATGTCAGTAGTTCAAATGAACAATAGTTCAAACGAACAATAGTTCAAACGTACCATAGTTCAAACGGCAGTAGTTCAAATGAGCATCCACCTATTTGACACAGTTATGATGCGAGGTTCCGTGAAGTTTGGAGAAAGTAAGTTCTAGTAAACATACACAATACACATCAAAACAATAGTCAGCTGTTAGTTACTTTACAGAGCTGAGAGTTCTTATATAACAATTGTAAGTTACTAATTGTAGTACACTAGCAGTAACAATTTGTTTTCTACAAAGTCCGTTGTCGAGTTGAACAAAAATGGAAATTTCTGGAAACAGTTTTGATTTTGACGATATGTTTTCTGGTTCTCCCGAACAGAAGGACGGGATGAGAGGAGGGGCAGGTTCAAGGACACCAGGACAACTAGGTACAATTGTATTACTGACACAAATTTTACGCTCGTGCATTTGTGCAATACAGGTTTCAATGCGTAATCTTAGTTAGCTATCATACGGCGTGAGTGAGAGAAACAGGTTGCTTGGTATATACTAATGCAACATGGGTCGTTAAACTTTTCAGCTTTATGACTACGTTATATATTATTTATACCGAATATATGAAATTTTTTTTGACGTAAAAAATGAAGAAAAAAAAACTCATATATGTTTGTTTACATTTGTTTAAAATAATTATGGTAACCAAACCATGTGGATAGAAGTTAGATTATTTATCTCTGATTTTATCTAAACTGTTATTTCGTGGAAATTAAATTTCTCTCTTAAGAAATGTCGGAGCCCTCAGGGAACGAAAAGCTGGAGAAGAGTCGACAGAGTGCCCGAGAATGCCGTGCCAGGAAAAAACTCAGGTTTGACGGTGATTTCCTAATTTACGATTTTTGGACCTCCCCCCTCCCCCCGTCATTTCAATTTTGTACATGGATCTCATATTTAACACATGGATATAATTGGTCATGTGGCCGCAGTGCCTGGCCCCCTAGTCTGTCCTTGCCGCGGCGCTCGGCCCCTAGCCTGCCCTATAGCCGCAGCGCTTGGCACCCTAGCTTGTCCTAGCCGCAGCGCTCGGCTCAGAAATTGACTTAACCTAACCTTACCCTAAAATAATGATAATTTTGCTGAAAAATAAATTGAAAGGAGGGGGGAGGGGGGGGGGTCCAAAATTTGAATTTTAGGACGGACCTGGTTTACTTTAAATTATAAATCTTTGAAACCTAAGGGTATATATTTTCTTGAAAATTTCCATTTTTATTCTCCTCCCAGAGCATCGAAAATAATTAATTCTTGTTAAAAACATACTTGCGCGATAAGATCTGAAATATCTAATGCTACCAAATATTTTATATTTATGTAACTTTGTAGCATTAATATTGTTAAGTTTAATGATATGCTGTTTTTTATTTATCTTAATAAAAAGCTTAACAAAAAGAATAGTTATGTTTTAAAGAAGAAACACCTCAGTATTTTGTTAAGATGCTTATTTAGTAGATGACAACAAAACAGATTTGAATAAAGGGACTGTACACCTAATTTTAAGTGACTTTCCATTTAAAGTAGTAATATGTCTGATTCTCTGATTCATTTAAACTTTTGTCTGAGCAAATATGATGGAGTCATCCATATTTTTTCATCTGAAAATTGCTAATTTACCATTGCTGTTCTTGCAGATTAATGCAGGATAGACAAAGTAAAAAGATTTAAATGTATCTATATTTAAAACGAAGATAGAAATTCCTCATTGTTAATCTGATAAAACCGGTAAAGGGTACCGTTGTGAATCCCGCAAGTAATGCTGTATATTGAAGGTGACTTGAAGTACAGTCCCATTAATAATATTTAACACCGTATAGGTACCAGTACCTGGATGATATGATCAGTGAAAGGGAAAAAGCCAATCTCGTTCTTCGAGAAGAATTGCAAAAGTAAGTGTTAAAAATGCCATAAATTTTTCAAAGGATATTTGTTTAAATTATGGCAGAAAACATTTAAAAAGAGAGAGCATCACGAGCAATGAAATTATGCTTAAATTTCACATTTTACATAAAAAATTTATCAGAGGGGTCTGGTGAAAATTAAGTTTATTCTGATATAAATTTTTTTTAAACTATGAAAATAATAAAAAAACGAAAAAAAAAAACATTTTTAACATTCTCTTCTGATTTTCGACATATTTGGAGAAAAACTTATTACAAGCCTAATAAAAAAACTATTAATTAATAATTTGGAGATTGAGGACAGAAATAAAATTTATAAATAATATTTTTTGCATTTATTCTATGCTTTAAATACAACATTTTTTAATTTGTAAAGTTAATGAATTGGGATGTCTGTAGAAATAATTTCTTATAAGGTATGTCAACTGGTGCCATGATCTGGATTCAAACCAAATACCGGCTGGACTTCAGGAAATCAATCTATTCATCAATCGATAAAGCAAGATTATCTAGTACGATAGGTGGCAACAGAGAGATGGACAAATTATACACGACGTCACAAGTGTCAAATATAACAAGGAAAACAAGATTTTCTCACATCAGTTGAAATGTTCTCCAAGATTAAATAAAAAAGTGTTTAAGCAGAAAATAAAAAACAAAAAATTGCACTTATTTAACCGTAAGATAAGCACTATATTCCAAAACTATCCATATTATTAATAATTTTGTCGGACACAAAAATTATGTTGACACTCGTGACGTAAGAATACAGCTGTAATGAGAGTGTACAAATTCTACGTTGCCATCTATTGTACTAGAATCTATTTGGTATTAACAATTTAAAAAGTCTTAAAATAAAAAATTACTAACATCATTTTTACATTTGCATGTTATCACAATTATTAGAAATCTGTTTTTAATTAACAATGGTACACTGAAAATCGTCAGTAAAATATTTTCGTCAGATATATTGATTTTCAACACGGCTTTCTAAGAGCCTCAAGACACGAGCAATAAATTTAACGCAATTTGACGATTTCCACTTAAAAGGTTTAAACGGTTCAGTTTAATTAAGAAGGACTGTCGATAAGTTCAAGTGACTCCGAATTTAAAGAGATAATTTCCAATTATTATTTATCGTTATAAGTCACCTGCGGATTTATGAAGCAGTGAGAGAGAAGAAAATGAACAGAATTGATGACGTACATAACGACAATGTCACTCTTTTATCAGTTGTAATTTGAATTGACCCTTCTTTTAAAAAAAAATTGGCATGCCCGATTCACAACACCACCATTTAAACCTTTTCTAATTAATAATGTGAAAGCTATTGTCGGATTTCTAGATTAAAAGGTGTTGGATTCGGACACTTTCCTTCATTTTTTCTAAAACAAAAATACGCAGTCACTGTGTAAAGAAACTATAACTATTTCTTATATGAAGGTAAAGTTGTGAATCGGACATGTGACTCTGAAATGTCAGTAATGTTAAAATAAAGGTTTAAGGTTTATCTTTGAGCAAAGAGTCTGTTAACTAATTGATTGATTGAATTTAGGAGTTTCTAAAATCTGACAGTTATGAGGGGCCTGTGAACATCATTGGAATGCAATAAAACCAACTCTATTCACATATTTAACAAACATCAAAACTGTCATTAATTATTCGTTTCCAAAAAAATTTAACGACAGGTTGCAGTCCCTTGACATTTGGTGAATGGTTTGAAATGTCTTTTTCTATAATTTGTTTAGTTGTTTAATACCGAATAGAATAATAAAAATGTATTATATTATAATAAAATATTAAAATAAAAAAAATAAAATATATTTGAGGAAAATGTTTGTTTTACGAAATAGACTGCAAAAAGTCTTCAACACTAAAACAGTTTATGGAAGAAGACATTTCAAAACTATTCACCAACTGTCATGTTTCTCGGGACACTCTGTATTTTAATTGTCCCTGTTTCTTCAGAGCCCGCGATTTTTAAAAACTCGGGAAAATACGGCTTTGGTCTAGGCTGTCGTTGGGCCTTATTTACGACTTGGACTTTCGGATCGGATTCAAGCTGCATCTTATTTATCACAGAGTTGAGTTCAAAAAACCGTTTTAATATTTTTTTTGGTGGATTTTCATGTAAGGAATTGGTGCATTCCGGGTTTTTATGAGAACAAGACTCAACATTGCGCCTTATTCTCCACTAAAACCAACCAAGGTCGGTTTTATTTTCATTGGGCCAAACTCCTTCAGTCGTGTCGCAAATCTTGCAGCTGTCAATCACGTTACACAAGCTGTCGTCAGAGTTGGGTCTTAAAGTCGGGATTAAGGTATTACGGCTCGAGCCGGAATTTTTACATCGCGGGCTCAGGTCTCTTTGTTTCCTTAAACTTACTTTTTGGTTTATTTTTATAAATGGTCAATCCTCATGTTTATTTTTCCCCTGTCAGAAGTCATAATGTCAAATTTTAAAAGCAAAACTGATGAATAAACGTAATAAGTTAGCTATTTAATTTTCATTGAACGAGAGAAATTACATATTCCAAATAATTTGTAAACCCTAGAGTTTAAAAACGATAATTATCTTTTTAACCTGATGGATCAATCCTTCAATCTTTCAACCTTTGTTATTTCAAACATTTTCAGTATTTGATTCAGCAAGAATTTATAATAAAATGGGTTCTAAAGTTAAGACTCGTTGGAAAGGACTTCTATCCGTGTTCTGATAGGTTTGTATCACCAGAGCTGGGAACTTTAGAATATTGGATATCAGGATTAATGCTTGATCCACTCTTTTTCTTAATCTCCAGATTAAATATTGCTAGTTCTCCTCATGAATTTAATCTCCAGATAATTAACAGATCAGGATTAAGGATATCACATTCTAAAGTTTTCAGTCTCAGCACTTGCAGTCTAATAAAGCTCGGAGAGTATGCCTGTTGCCCGGTCCGTTCAAGTAAAGGCAAAAGGCAAACTGAATTAAAGGGACTGTAAGTGTAATTTCAAGTGATCCTTCATCCAAAGCTGCTTTTGCCCGATTTACACCAATACCCTTGAAACCTTTATCTGATTTTTCTGGGAATAATTAGTTTTCGAAATTATTACTATTGATAACTTAATACTTAATACTAAATCAGTAAAACTTTTTATGGGTACCGTTGTGAATTGGGCATTGTCATCTTTGCATCTAGGGTTAGTTGAAATTACGCTTACATTCCCTTTAAACTAAATCTTTAAAGGGAGTGTTCGCGAAAAATGAAAGGGGGTATAAGTTTAATGCGATAAAAAAGCGCTTTCGATCGCTACTAATCTTACTTCTATCTGTTGCGTCTATATGGAGAAAATTGTTAAAAACAACTAATACCGAAGAACGCAGCGTCCATACAAATTCGGAAAGATTTGACATTCAACTCGGATCGTAAACAAATCAATTTAATTCCAAACAAATGATTCAGATATTACAAACAGTAGTCATCGATTATTTATCGACGCATTCGTATATAGTTAATATTTCACAATATTTTTGATTTTGTTTTTTAAAGTAATTTTCGCTGGCGCTGGATTTTCGAACATTCCTGGAAACTATGAAAATGTCGTCTTCATTATCAAAAATCCTTGAAACAGGAATAAATGTTTTCAAAATGTTGTGAAATATCAACTATTTACGAATGCGTCGAAAAATAATTGATGACTATTGTTTGTAATATCTGAATGACTTTTTGGAATTAAATTGATTTGTTTACGATCCGAGTTGAATCTTGCATCTTTCTGAATTTGTATGGACACTATATACGTCCTTGGATATTAGTCGTTTTTAACAATTTTCTCCTTATAGACGCAAAAGATAGAAGTAATATTAGTAGCAATCAAAAGCGCTTTTTTTTCGCCGCAAGCCTATACCCCCTTTCATTTTTCGCGAACACTCCCTTTAAAGTTTAAAATGTATGTTTAATTTGGAAGTAATTTCTATAAAGGTATTTACTCATTTTATATAGTTATCTTCGTTTCTTCATAGTCCCAATTTTTCGAAGCAAAACATTTGATGGATTACCCTGTTAAATATTTATTATACTGTCTTAAACAGGAATTATGTGTTTTTAAACACATGACTACTACATATATAATACAACTGTATAATACTTCACTAAACCTAGTTTTATAGTTTACTCCGCACTTAGTACATTTTGTGACATTACTAAATATTCAATTTACCGATAATTTTGTTAAGCTATTTAATTTAAAGAAAACATATTTATTTGGATATTTTTATAAGAATTGTTTTAATTTTTCAAAATTTTTACGAGTTCTTCAGGAACAATATTTTTGATGAAAATTTCAATCTGACACATTAGCAAGTTTTTGCTGATTGCTTCTTTTTCACGTGAATAATTTCTTTTAAACATGTTAACTAATTTTTAAATTAAATCTTTCCATATTTGTCGATCTTCGTAACTTAAAAATAAAATGTTTTGAAACCACAGGGTGAGTCAAAAATGTGTGTCCATGCAGTCACGTCTTCTAAGGAATTTTTTTGATGATCTTGTTGCATGTTATTTTTGATTTTCTTGTGCATGTTATTTTTTCAATTTGTTCAGAAAATTCTTCACTTATTTGAATGTTAAAAGATTATCTATATATATATATAAATTTGGCTTGTCTGGGTGTTTGTTTGTTTGTTTGTATCCAATAAACGTCAAAACGACTTAACCGATCGGGCCCAAATTTTTTGTGGGACCTCACGTGACCCCAGGGAAGGTTTATGAATGATCAAAATTTAAAAAAATTGTGTTTAAAAGTTTTTTATTTTTGAAAAATTTTGAAAATGCGCAAAAAAATATCATGAAATCCGCAAACTTTTTTTGTTTTTGTTTTATACTGTACTCACTGTACAAAGAGAAGATGTTCTTCAGAGATAAAGCCACAACTAAAAGTTGAAATAGAAGATGGGCGCGAAGCGCCTTAAAAGCTTAGTTTCTATAAAAATCCTAAAATTCCGTCAAAAAAAAATGTATATTAATTCCTGAAATCAAAACTTATTGTAGAGTGCGTAGACGAACAATGAATTATTAATAATAATAACAGCAGAACCCCCCCCCCCCCCTGTTGGACTCCTCGCTTAGAAATTTGGCAGCAAATATAGCTCTGCCTGTATGGATGGTTGGGTACAATGTACATTATACACTACAAAGCATACTCCCAACCCTATTCAGTTCAAAGCACACCTATCAAGAGATTAGATTTAATAAATAGTGAGAAGTAGTTGAACCACGCACCACCGGCTCAACCAGATCTTTTGTGCACCAGTTCAAGATGATGAGATGTATATAGTTGAACGTGTACGCTGCAGTTCAATAATGTCTAGCTTTATGCTCGCTATTCGTTAAATCTAGTCATACAGATGTTTTGGAAAGGGGAGTGATACAAATTTAGAAAAAAGTTGATTTTAAAAAATCTGATGCGTTGACCAGAAGAAAGTTTTGGGTATTAAAGGGACTGAACGCGTAATTTCAAGTGAAGATAGCAATGATCTATTTACAACGTGTCTCGTTACAGTGGAGCCTCTATATGATCAATAATGTGAAAGATATTGTTTTCTAGTTTTAAAAGTGTTTAATTCTGATAAATTCTATGTTTTCCTGCAGTCGAATAGAAATGCGCATGATCACTTTTGTGGAGAAACCACAATTGAAGAAAAATCAGTTTTCAAAAATTTTAAACATTTATTCCTAATTCACACTTAATCATACAACCCTTTGAGGGTACCGTTGTGAATCCGACAAGCTGCTTTCTTTTCCTGAAAGGAGGAAATCATTTTCTTGTGTTAGGGAAGTAAAGAATAAAAAATGTAAATTCTATTCTATTCTAAGACTTCTGAACAAGCAGAATGGAACTGAAACCCGAAAACAATCTGAGTGAAGAAGATGATTGTTTGAAACAAGCTGAAACCCAAGAAGAAACCTCTTTTTCTGTGAAACCTGATGGAGAAAAAAGTAATATTAAAAAAAAAGATGGCGCCGTAAAATCAGCAGTTTTAACGGGGAATGTGAATACTGATACTAGTGTTGAAGATGGTGAACCTCAGAAGACAATGCACAAGGAAAATGGAAAAAGCAAATGAGCGTAGTTTTTATCGTGGGGAAAATACTCCACTTGGGATTTCCAAAATGTTTTATACTATTTTTAACCTGAGCTGTACAGAGATTTTATTTTTTCTTAATTGATGTACTGTTAGTGTACACTACAGTTCTGTATTTTACTGGACTGCAGAATCCAGAGAGAATTTAAACTTTATTAATCATCACAGCAAACTCTTGCAAGCAGTACTACTTCTGGGCACATTTTGTCTGGAATTGGAAACTAACTTTTTTTAAATAAATATATTCTTAAAGGGACTGAAGAAGATATTTCAAGAGACCCTCAGATTAAGAATCCATCAAATAAAGTCATGGATAAGAATTGAACATCAGAAAAAAGACCGAAGTGTCTCAAAATCCTTTGATAGAAAGCTATTGGATGAAAGTCATTTTCCTGATTATTAAGAATTTTTGTTTTGAATATCCGTCCTGCAAAACTGTTTGCAGTACACACGCAATTCTATGAACTTTTTCTCTTTTTTGGTCATAAAAATTATGACTTTTTTGGTCATAGAAATTATGACTTTTTTGGTCATAGAAATTATGACTTTTTTGGTCATAGAAATTATGACTTTTTTGGTCATGGAAATTATGACTTTTTTCCAAATGCTTTTTTGGTTGTGACTTTAACGCGCCGTACCCTTTAAACCTTTTAAACAATGAGCAAGCTATAGTCGTTTTTTTATCTAGAAAAGTGCACCATAATCCACCCACAAGTCACTTTTGTAGAGAACCCCCAGTTGAAAATAATAAATTTTCAGCAAAAAAAAAATATCTCCTATTCCTTGATCCGACAAAGGACAGAAATAATATTTTCAAACATTTATAAATATTTAAAACCAGTGCAGCTATAAATTACATTGAATTATAACTTGAAATATTGTCAACAGTCTTTTTGTTGAACTTGTTAGATTTATTTAAAGTTTTAAAAAAATTAAAGTTTCATATTTCCATATTTGAAGATGTATCGGGATATGGATTCTCTGCTGGGGTTCGGCAAATTTCAGCATTTTCAAATCTGGGTCTTCCAGGGACTTAATTACACTCGATATACTGAAAAATTTACCAATTTATACCGATTTGTTATTGTATAAATATTTATAAAAGAACTCTACATTTTAGTTTTTAAGTAGTTTGAAAATTTGCGTAATTTAACGAGTTTTTTTTTCTTTTCGAATTATCATATATTCAAGTATGTATTTTATGATTACAGTTCCAACGTGGGCCCTATACAAATAATGTTTCGGACCATGGAAACAATTTTTTAAAAAACTTATTTTAAAAAAAAGAATTTTTTCTAGTGAGGGATGGAATTAAATACACAATGCACACAGTTAGCCATTTATTAATTCTTTCAGCTTGTGTAATTAAATGTAATCAAATTAAATGTAATCAAATTATAAATGTAATTAAATTAAATGTAATTAAATTAAATGTAATTAAATGATGCAGACTCTCATCAGCATAATCGGGGGGTATGACGGCCTTCAGCTCATTTTTATGGTCAGGAAAGTGATTCAGATTTATTTATTATACGCTTTGCTGCAATGGAGGAGGGGGGGGGGGCCATGCCGCATGCGGCATTGAGCCCAGCAATATCCTGTTCGAACCTAGGTAGTGAGCAGAACCCTGACCGAACCTCGCGGAATTCTTTTTGAGCCAAGCAAAAGACTATTCCCACATCTTTTCCTTTTTAAAATTTTTTTCTTCTTGAAGTCAATTATCAATAAAAGTTTTTTTATCTGGGGTTCTAATAGGATATTCGAGCAGGGTTCTGCTAACTACCTGGGTTCTAGTAGGATATTCGAGCAGGGTTCTGCTAACTACCTGGGTTCTAATAGGATATTCGAGCAGGGTTCTGCTAACTACCTTGGTTCTAATAGGATATTCTAGCAGGGTTCTGCTAACTACCAGGGTTCTAATAGGATATTCGAGCAGGGTTCTGCTAACTACCTGAGTTCTAATAGGATATTGCTGGGCTCATTGCCACATGGTCCCCCCTTCCTCGTGCTGATCCGCGAATCATTTGAGATGGCCGCTAAACATAAAATACAGCAATTTTGCATTGATAACATCTGTCCACCTGAAAGATCGATTTATAAGCTCTGGTTAAAATATTCGCTTTAGAACAACATCAAATACATCTTAAGATTGGTTAAATGTCGTCTTCCTATTCTATCGTTTTAAGGGTTCTAATGTAGTCTGTAATGTATGTAGTAATGGGACATTGCTTTGTTCGTTGTTTAAAAAATTTGGAGGCTTTTGGAATGTTGATAGGTTCCAAAAATCTAAGAAGTTCAACAATTATCAAAATTGTGGCTTCTAATTATGTGCCAGCTTGCACAGATTATGTCAAAAATTTAACGCTGAGAGAAAATATATTCAAAAGCCGGGCCAAACATGATCGTTTTTGGCTCTTACAGAAGTTCGAAGTATGTCAAAAAAAGAAATCAAAAAACCTTAAAACGAACTAAGATATATCACCTCACTGTAAATCTTTAGATAATACTGCACTTAAAAAGAGTGACCGACAATGTATGGTACAGCTAAATGAATCCAAAAAAATGTCTCCACAATACTACATTCTCAGTTCAAACAGTTTAACACTAAATAAGTCATACATCGAAAGAATTTATCAAATGTCGTTTTGACTATTTTTCAATGGATTTTATACAATTTTACGTAAATCTCAGTATTTGCGAAAATAAAAAATAACCATGAATATGCGGGAACAGTTTTAAAGAGCTCCATAACATCATTTAATTAAAAAACTAAATATCTGCAGCATTCCATTATCAGAAAGTGAAGAATACGACATTTGATGAATTCTTACGATGTATGGCTTATTTAGGGTTTAACTGTGGTTGAACTGAGAATGTACAGAATCTTAAACTTTTAAATGATGTATAATTACTGAGTTTGAGCGCAAAGTCGAAGTTCAAAATCATTCATTGGGTGGTTACATTTTGAGAATCGATTTTTCTTAAATTATTAAGTAACGATGATAAAAATGTAAAAAAAAATTTAATTCTTCAGGAACATATTTCTCAATTGAAATTTCTTTAATAAATCAATTCTTTCTTTTTCATCAATATATTGAATTTCTTATTCATTATGAATTTGTTTAACATTTTTTTTCAAAATTCTTAAAATGTCGTCTTTTCAATAAAAATTCCAGAAAATCTACAGAAAATATTTGTGAACAATGAGACATTTCAAAAACCAATAACTGAAAAAGATTACGTATTTTCGATGATAATAGTTAATTTATTTTCTCTGCCTGTTCCTAAACAACTACTTAGTATACTGAAGAATTTTTACTACTTTTCTTGTCGTCGTTATTGAATAATTTTTCAAAAACCGATTCTCAAAATCATCCATCAAAAATGAGGATTTTAAAGATTGAATTTGCGCTCTTGCTGAGCAAATATGCAACGTAAAAAAGTCTCATAGGTCTCAAATGATTCCTAAAAAAATTTCCACATTACCACATTCTTAGTTCAACTACTATTCATTACCGGTCACTCCCTTTAAAATGGTTTGATCATATTAAAAAGAATATTTTAGAAATTAAATAAGTTATGGCAGTTTCAAGTTTGAAATTTTGGCTTAATAGATTTTAGGCCAAGTGTTGTGACAGTGACGGTGTTACCCAGTTAATATTATCTTTCAAGGACATCCTGGCCTTCTAAATTTATCAAGAAATGCTCATATTTAATGGAACCCACTGTATTTATCATGAAATGTTATCAATTGTTTCTCTGAATTTATTTAGTGATCCTCCTGATTGGTACTGTGCTGAAGGTAAATAATTAAAGTAGTCCTAAACCTACAAGGTTTCCAGCAAAAAAATGCGAAAATTTTCGTTCGTATTTCGCAAACTTTTTCGCGATATTTCGCATTTTTCGCAAAAAAGCGAAAAAGATGGGAATATTTTTGCACGTAAGTATTTCAGCTGCAATAATTAATTACGCAAAACATCTCGCGAAATTTTTTTCATTTCATATTTTTCGAAAATTTTACGTTTTTCGCAAAACAGATGAAGGCGAAATTTCGCTAGCGAAACGATTTCCCCTTTTCGCTGTAAACCCTACTAAATACCATATACCATAATAATCTTGTATATTGTACAACTTATAGCTGCCTAAAAGCCAATACGGTATTTTAAATGAACCGGAATTCACAGCTGTTCTGTACAATGTAAACTGTACTGTACACTGTAAACTGTACTGTACACTGTACACCGTACTGTACACTGTGAACTGTACTGTACACTGTAAACTGTACTGTACACTGTAAACTGTACTGTACACTGTAAACTGTACAGGAGAGGAAAAGTGCCCAAGTACGGGAGAAGTGTGTGAAGGAGGGAATATAGTGTACAATACAACACATGAAAACTATCTCAACTCTCTCACTGTGCAACAAAACTGGGTCTGCGACCAGGTAGTGTCCTGCGAAACTTTACAGTAGAAAAAGGACTTGAAATCCGTCTTCCATATTTGAAATTATTTACAGCATTCATGTCGTCAACCTACTTTTACATGTGCGATAATTGAAACAATAATAACAAAATTTTTCTATTCCTGGCATTTCCAAAATGTGGTCTGCCATTTTTTTGCTGTCGAAACCAGAGATATTAAGAATTTCGTTCAGATATTAATTTATTTCATAAAACAAACATTATCAAAATATGAGCAAAAATGCTGTAAATCATTTCAAAGATCAAAAATGACCTTCACATCATGCTTCGTGGTATATTCTGTATGTTAGTGTGCTATATTGGTACCGAAAGAGACAGTGGCCTTTTTTAGAGTTTCTCTTAAATGCCTGATTCAGCTACGGTTACTTTTCAACATTTGTCTCGGAGCACTGAGAAAAAAAAACAATATATATTATATTAGTGTATGCAAAAAATAATCAACATATAATTTAATCATAAATGCAAATACTTTTAAATTATTTTAGCTTATTATTATGCAGAAAAAAAAGATATTTTTAAAAATATCCGTATTTTTTACTTTTCTATGATCTAGATAGAAAATAGATCATTTTTTTTTATTGATTTTGATTCTGAATTGCATTTACCAATAAAGATTTTAATTATTTTATTTTAAGAAATTACGAGGTTCAAATGTTCTCACTGCAGTAGGTAATATGCAATTTTTTATTACTTTGCTTTAGATAAACTTAAGAAATAAAAATAAAGACTGGAGATTTAACTAATTGAAATATACTTTGGGCAAATATAAAATAATAAAATTGATTGATTTATAAGAAGAACTATAGTAATCATTATAAATCAATGTTTTCCCAAACTGTGATTACATATATCATATCACATAATCCCTTATTTTTTCAAGTAATACAAAAAAACATAATTATTTTTGAAGTATTCATATAGAATACCCAAATATTGATGGATGTTAATGATACTTTGAAACTCAAAAAAATGTTGACAAGGAAGAAGACATATAAGCAATTCATAAGTTTATTTGATGTTAATTAAAGCAAATAGTTTTGTTATTAGCCATGAAAATGATCTTCTTAAGTGAACGTAGGTCTGTGCAACACTTAACAATTGCTGAATTTCATGTTCATTGGATTATTTGAAATCATAACTTAAAGGGAGTGTTCGCAAAAAAAGAAAGGGGGTATAGGCTTAATGCGATAAAAAAGCGCTTTTGGTCGCTACTAATCTTACTTCTATCTGTTGCGTCTATAAGGAGAAAATTGTTTAAGACGTCTCATACCGAAGAACGTAGAGCCCATACAAATTGAGAAAATTGCAACATACGACTTAGACCGTAAAAAAATCAATTTAATTTCAAACAAATCATTCAGATATTACAACTTATAGTCATCGATTATCTTTCGCCACAGTTGTATATAGTTTATATTTTATAATATTTTTTAATTAATTTTTTTTATATTTAATTTTTTTAGAAAACGTTTTTAACAGATTTCCAAAAATGTGAGTGGTGCGCGGCATTCTTAGATAGTTGCGCAAGCGACAAGAGAAATAATCAAATTCAAAACAGTTATTAGATAAGTTACTAGTAAGACTATTTGCTTTGTAACTTAATTAAATTGCTTAAATGCTGTCTTCCTATTCTACAATTTTCTGGTTCTCCCTGTGTAAATAAATGTCCGTTTTTGAAATGTTGTTAAAATTTAGTTGCTGGAGTAATCTTCAACTCACTTATCTTTGGACAGTTATCTGATAAAATTGGAAGACGAGCTATCCTTCATATCACTAATATTCTCACTATGGTTATCAGGTTTATGCGTAAACTTAATTACAGTCGTCGTCGTAATTATCGATTTGAATTTTGGATTTCTAGGAAGCTTTAAAACAGCATTGCATACACATATAAACATGTGAACAAAGGAAAGCTTTCAACTTTACAGCTTCTATTTTTTTACTTGTAAACTTGTAATTTGAAAAAATCTTGTTTGAAATTAAAACTTAAATTGAAAATTCATCTTCATTGTATTGATATATACGGCGACCATTGTATCCAAATGTCAGATTTATAATAAATAGCTAGAAGTAATTAAAAAGGCATGGCTAGATGAACTATTGCTCTATAGTGCATTCACGACCACACTGAGAAATATCTATACTTAGTCTAACCACAAACATTCTGACAATGATTATTGGTTTATGTATAAACTTAACTTACCTTTCAACTACATTTCAATTACCTTTTACTACCTTTCGACATTTCAACTACCTTTCAACTATCCTTCTACTTCCTTTCGACCACCTTTCAACTACTTTTCAACTAAATTTCAACAGCCTTTCAACTACCCTTTAACTACATTTCAACTACCTTTCAACTACCCTTCAACTACCTTTTAATTACCTTTAAACTACCTTTCAACTACCTTTCAACTACCTTTTAACTACCCTTTAACCACTTTTCAAATACCTTTTAACTACATTTTCCACTACTTTTCAACTACCTTTCAACTACATTTCAACAACTTTTCAACTGCCTTTTAACTAAATTTCAACTATCTTCATTTACCTTTTAACTACCTTTAAACTACCTTTCAGCTACCTTTCAACTATCTTCATCTACCTTTTAACTACCTTTCAACTACATTTCAACCACCAACTACCTTTTGACCGAAAAATCGAATAAAAATGTTTGTGAAAAAAAAATGTTAAACCAAACTTTCTCTTTCACTGATGATTTCTATTCATTAAGAACCTCATTTTTTTGTCAAAGTTTAGTATAATTTGTAGAATAAACGTGCATCATGCATCATGACAAAATTAAAAAGGCTGTTCCAGAAAAAATATTTAAAGGTGTATACAGCTATCTCTGAAGAAATAGTATTCGATGCCAATAATTACATTAAAAAAGGAATAAACTGATAAAAAAAAATTATATTTATTTTAGGCTAATTTCCTATCATCTGACCGAATATTACTATCTTTTTCTTGTCTTATCTGCACTTGGAACTAATTTTGAACCAATAGGGTCCAGAGCAGGGTAGGTATTCAATAAAAGGGGTAAGGTTAGCGTAGTTTTCAAATATAGGGGTCAGAGTAGGGTAGGTTTTCAATAATAGGGTCAGAATAGGGTAGGTTTTTAATAATAGGGTCCAGAGCAGGGTAGGTTTTCACAATAAAAAGGGGTCAGATCAGGGTAGATGTTTAATGATAGGGGTCAGGGTAGGGTATGTTTTCAATAATAGGGGTCAGATTTGGGAAGGTTTTCAATAATAGGTGTCAGAGTAGGGTAGGTTTTCAATAATGGGGGTCAGAGAAGGATAAATTTGCAATAATAGGGGTCACAGAAGGGTAGGTTGTCAATAATAGGGGTCAGAGTAGGGAAGGTATTCAATAATAGGGATCAGAGTAGGGTAGGTTTTTAATAATAGCAGTCAGAGTAGGGTAGGTTTTCAAAAATAGGGGTCAGAGAAGGATAGGTTTGCAATAAAAGGGGTCGGATAAAGGTAGGTTTTTAATTATAGGAGTCAGAGTGGGGTAAATCCAATATACTCATAAAAATCAGGTTTATCATGTTTTTATCATTGTTTTTTTGCTATGTTTAGACTCACCATGGTGCCTGAGTACTGCAATGAACTGGGAAGAAAAGTAGCTTTGATATCTGGTTGGGTTTGGTGGGTTGTGGGACAAACATCCTTTCCTTTTCTAGGTTAACATATCTTAATATTATTTCCTTTAATACACTTTCCTTTCCTTTTCTAGGTTAACATATCTTAATATTATTTCCTTTAATACACTTACCTTTCCTTTTCTAGGTTAACATATCTTAATATTATTTCCTTTAATACACTTTCCTTTCCTTTTCTAGGTTAACATATCTTAATATTATTTCCTTTAATACACTTTCCTTTCCTTTTCTAGGTTAACATATCTTAATAATATTTCCTTTAATACACTTTCCTTTCCTTTTCTAGGTTAACATATCTTAATATTATTTCCTTTAATACACTTTCCTTTCCTTTTCTAGGTTAACATATCTTAATATTATTTCCTTTAATACACTTTCCTTTCCTTTTCTAGGTTAACATATCTTAATAATACACTTTTTTATGAAAAGGCATAAAGGAAACGAAAAACTGATTTCTCACCTAAAACTTAAATTTTCTGATTTCTTTTCAAATTGATGATCTCAACCTGAAAACAATATATTAATTAGAATTTTAATTTGTCTAGCTATGTATGCGAACAATTGGTACTGGTTGAGTGTGGGTTCTACCCTTTGTCACATCTTTATAGGAAACTAAACTCAAATCACATTCAAATTATTTAATTAGTAAAATAGTGAAAATATAATATTAATTTTAATATAGAATAATATAAAATAATAATAAACAATGTAATCATAATTTGGCAATATGTCAAAGTTTTTCCTGTGAGAAAGTTTGTCTTTTAGAAGTTTGTAAACAAAGAGTTTGTTTTTCAAAAGTTTGTCTTTAAGATGTTTAATTTTTGGCAGAGCTGGGCAAAGTTCAGTTAACGCAATGGAGGTTTTCGAAAAAAAAAACGGATGAGTCCATTGATGAACGGCAAAAACTGTTAATTTAAAAGTAGTTAACAAAACGGATTTGCATTCAGGAACATTGACAGATTTGCATTCTTGTAAGATACATAGTCAGTATACCAGCTCTGAGAACCTCATGTCACTCTTCTCTTGTAATATACATAGTCAGTAAACCAGCTCTGAGAACCTCATGTCACTCTTCTCTTGGCCCATCATCTCATTCTTATCTAAGCTTCAGTCAGCGTTAATATACGGGGAATGTATCTAACGACTAAAAGTATTTTTAAAATTATTTCCTTATTGATAACTTTTAAATGGTATTTTAATATTATCATAAATATTATCATTCTATGAACAGGTTGAGTTATGTACTGTATATATGTACAGTGCTTCTATGAACATGTTGAGTTATGTACTGTGTATATGTACAGTGCTTCTATACCCCTTTGTACCCGAGAGTCCTAGGCTATTGTACAGTCAGAAGAAGTACGACAGGTAAATCAAATGTTCCCAACTATCTAAATCGTCTTGATTGCCAAATCATGATAAGCAAACATTTAAAAACTGAATTATGGTTTTACGATTTTATTATTTTTCTAATCAATGTTACAATTTTTACAATCTTTTGCAAACCCCCAGTAATTTCCGAACAAATATACATATATTCCCCTGGTCACCCCTTTTTTAAAAATGTACTAGGATGCGTAATTATTGCATTTTATCTATCTTTAGATCTTAAATCTTAATCCAATAAATTAAATATTTCAAGGAAATGTACTGTAGTTTCTGGTAGGAATGTAAACAAAGCTTAGCCTGAGCAGCACTCTTTGTGTGTATACATCTTTCAACTGTTCCCAAAAACTGCAGTATAAGCACTTTATAAACTGAGCCGACAATTTAAGAGACTGAAGCATTGAATTAAACTCCCGAGTTTCCTTTTTTTGGGGTGTAGATATTAATGTAAGGATCACCTAAATGCAGGAATAAAGCCTAAATGCAACTCAGATCGGACGCCAGGCATTTACTGTTTGCTGGTTCCTCTCCATCATGGGTTTTGAAGGCCGAGGGGGCCATTTTTTGTGTTTGTTCTTAGGCTGTCTAGGTCTGCTGTACTGGTTTTATATTTAACCTCTTATTTCTTATTAGAACTGCTGAAGTACTGACTACTATCAGACGAATAAACAAGGATGAACCAATCCCTGACATGAAGGTATATTCTTTATCCTTTTATATAATATTGCTAATATCAAAATTATAGTACCAATATTAAATTTCTAGTACTAATACTAAATTTCCATTACTAATATTGAATTTCTAGTACAAATATTAAATGTCTAGTGCCAATATGAAATTTCTTGTACCAAATTAAATTTCAGCACCAATTAAATTTCTAGTACAAATATTAAATTTCTAGTGCTAATATTAAACTTCTAGTACCAATATTAAACTTCTAGTACATAAATTAAATTTCTAGTACCAATATTAAACTTCTAGTACAAATATTAAATTTCTAGTACCAATATTAAATTTCAGTACCAAATTAAATTTCAGCACCAATTAAATTTCTAGTACAAATATTAAATTTCTAGTACAAATATTAAATTTTTAGTGCTAATATTAAACTTCTAGTACCAATATTTAACTTCTAGTACATAAATTTAATTTCTAGTACCAATATTAAATTTCTAGTACCAATATTAAATTTCTAGTGCCAATATGAAATTTCTAGTCAAATTAAATTTCAGTACCAATATTAAATTTCTAGTACAAATATGAAAGTTCTAGTACCAATATTAAATTTCTAGTAACAATATTAAATTTCTAGTGCTAATGTCAAATTTCAGTACCAATATCAAATTTCTAGCACTAATATTAAATTTCTAGTACCAATATTAAATTTCAGTACCAATATTAAATTTCTACTACCAATATTAAATTTCTAGCACTAATATTAAATTTCTAGTACCAATATTAAATTTCAGTACCAATATTAAATTTCAGTACCAATATCAAATTTCAGTACCAATATCAAATTTCTAGCACTAATATTAAATTTCAGTACCAATATTAAATTTCAGTACCAATATCAAATTTCTAGCACTAATATTAAATTTCTAGTACCAATATTAAATTTCAGTACCAATATTAAATTTCAGTACCAATATCAAATTTCTAGCACTAATATTAAATTTCAGTACCAATATTAAATTTCTACTACCAATATTAAATTTCTAGTGCTTATATTAAATTTCAGTACCAAGATCAAATTTCTAGTACCAATATTAAATTTCTAGCAACAATATGAAATTTCTAGTACCAATATTNGTACCCCACAGTACCCCACAGCACCCCACAGCACCCCAAAGTACACCACAGTACCCAACAGTACCCTGCAAATATGGGGATTACAAATTGGCGTTGTTGCCATCCCTCCCTCCATTAAGTGGTCAGCTGATTAGTATTAATCTAGCTTTTTTTGTCCGTGAAAATAGTGCAAAACTATAAAGAAAACATCCTTAGAAGTGCTTCTGACTCTACTTATATATTTTTATTAAATTTAAAAAATTCTGTTTGGTTTCTGTACCCCCTCCCCCTAGTAATGCCCAGTACTTTCAAGTACATTGTAGTACCCTGTACCCTAAAGCACTCTGTATTCCCTGTTACAATCAGTTTCCGTTAAAAGATTTTCGAATTACAAATTGGTGTTTTTGCCATTCCTCCCTCCAATTAATCATCCGCTGTTTAGTTTTAAACCATCAACATAATAACTTTTATACTGTTTTACACAAATGAAAATAATGCAAAACTAGAGTAAAGTGCAACCCAGAAAAGCTTCTTTAAGTTCTAAATATTTGTGTTCAAAATAAAAATTCTGTTTGGTTCGGCAACTTTTTTCTGCAGAATCTTTCCTACTTTCTGAAAGGTTTTACATCGGTATGTTTAAGGATATCTACTCGATATGAAGCAATATTTATTAATACTTATTTTGACTCAAACTCTTAACTAAATGAATATAGAAAAAATATGCCGGTTTAAGAAAGTTTTAGATAGATATTTGCAATCATCCAGAACAAAAAGTTTTATCAAAAATCAAACTTTAAAAGTTAAAAAAATGCAAAAAAAAATCATTTCTGACACCACTAGGCTTAGTACGCCAATATAATTCACCAAAACCATACTGCAGTCCTTCAATTATCATACAGGGAAAATATTCATCTTTCTAAACATTCCAGGGAAAGATTTGACAGGTTCTTTCTACTACCAATATTAAATTTCTAGTACCAATATTAAATTTCTACTACCAATATCAAATTTCTAGCACTAATATTAAATTTCAGTACCAATATTAAATTTCAGTACCAATATCAAATTTCTAGTACCAATATCAAATTTCTAGTACCAATATTAAATTTCTAGTAACAATATTAAATTTCTAGTACCAATATTAAATTTCTAGTAACAATATTAAATTTCTAGTACCAATATTAAATTTCTAGTACCAATATTAAATTTCTAGTACCAATATTAAATTTCTAGTACCAATATTAAATTTAAAGTACCAATATTAAATTTCTAGTAACAATGTTAAATTTCTAGTACCAATATTAAATTTCTAGTACCAATATTAAATTTTAAGTACCAATATTAAATTTCTAGTACCAATATTAAATTTCTAGTACCAATATTAAATTTCTAGTACCAATATCAAATTTCAGTACCAATATCAAATTTCTAGTACCAACATTAAATTTCTACTACCAATATTAAATTTCTACTACCAATATTAAATTTCTACTACCAATATTAAATTTCTAGTGCTTATATTAAATTTCAGTACCAAGATCAAATTTCTAGTATCAATATTTAATTTCTATTATCAACATCAAATTGATTGTACAATTATTAAATTTCTTAGATAATAACATAAAAAATCTGAGATATTTTGCGATCTAAAAACTTTGAATTAAAATTTTTTTGTTCGCCCTTTTTGACATATAATGAAACAAAAACAAATCTTATAGAAAAAACTAAAAAGCAGTTATTTGTAGATATGTTAGAGCTACTATAAAAGTGAGACAAAATACTTTTTATAGAAGTTTCTGGAAGAAATGGCCAAAAGTGAAACCGAAGAAACCAGTACATTAGGAAAAAAATGAAGAATGTCAAAAAATACAAAATATTTTTTTTTCAATTTCACATTTATATAAAATCCTTTAGTAATCTTATACTTATGAAGACGACATTTGATCTTTAAATTTCTCAGTCATTATGTCCATGTTCAAAGAGCGTAATTTGCTTCGACTCCTTATTTGCATGGCAACCCTGTGGTCTGTTAATGATTACTTTTACTTTGGTGGACTTCTCAATGCACAAAACCTAGGAACCAAATTAATCAGTGCATCAATAAAGTCCTCTTATAAAGTGTAAAAATAGCGTGCAACCCATTTAAAGTATCTCACTAACAAATAGTTTTTTTTTTAAATCACTCTATAATAAAAGAAAAAAACACGAAATTAAGGTGCGATTTTTCTATTTTTGAATCCTACAGGTTTTGACATTTTTTCTTTACGTTGAAGAATTACTAAAACTCTTCCTGGATTTTACTGTTAGCAGGAAATTGCCTTTTCACGAAATAATCATTAATTAAAGGAACTATAGGCTTAATTTCAAGGACCCTCTTTATATCGAGGGCGTGTTCAATTCACAGCAGTAAACCCTTTAACCCTTGGACTGATTAAGGATGACAGTCTTTGCCTTATTTTTCTACAGATACGTTTTTAAATTTAAGGGAACACTTTTTTTAAAACTATTTTAATATTTTAGAAATATTTATGTTTACATTAATAGAATCTGGGAAAAAAATCATTAGTATTGGAGTACTACTGGAGCCCCCCATATTTCAAAGTACAAAAAATACAATCGTATTTTTAAAAATCATTAGTATTGGAGTACTATTGGAGACTCCCATGTTTAAAGTAAAAAATACAATCGTATTTTTAAAAATTATTAGTATTGCAGTACTTTTGGAGACCCCATATTTCAAAGTACAAAAATACAATCGTATTTTTAAAAATCGATTTTAATACAAAGCGCGAAACTTGAACGCAAGTAAGCTTTATAGGATTCCGAGAATTGAGACAAAAATCCAGATTGAGACAATTTTTAAAAGTTTATTGTAGTTATTATTTGATTAAAATGGTTTAAGCTGGAAATATGTTCGTCAATATGTCTTTAACTGCTCTAACAGAACTACCATCAGTTTTCATTGGACAATATTTAATAGACAGGTATATACTAGACACATAATCTTTATTGGACAATATTTAATAGACAGGTATATACTAGACACATAGACATTTACAATCTTCATTGGAGAATATTTAATAGACAGGTATATACTAGACACATAGACATTTACAATCTTCATTGGACAATATTTAATAGACAGGTATAAACTAGACAACCTGTAGACCATGGGTACAATTGCCATGGGGGATATTGATTAGATATTAAATCAATCTGCAGATTAATAAAAGATAAAGATCATGCATTGATCTCGATATTCACAATACAAAAGTTTCCAGCTCTGGACATTCAAGGATTGGACATTACATTAGTTGTATTATGTATGTTATGTACAACAAGAACGGAATATGGGAAAGGCTCATTTTTAGATTTGGAAGAAGATGGTCTCATGTTGGATGCATGCTAACTGCAACAGGTCGAAAACTTACAATTACAGTTACACCTTCAAAATTCACAATTACAGTTACTATTTCACAATTACATTTACAACTTTAACATTACAATAACAGCTTCACAATTTACAGCTAATGTTACAAGTTTACAATTACATACGTTAAAAGAGTTGAAATACAATGACCATGTTTAGTTAAAAATTTCGTTAGAAATAGATTTAACAGTTTTGACATGGTTAAGGTTAATTCTGTACTTAAGTGAGACTTATTGTACACTGTACAGTGTACAGTGATAACCAGAAAACTCTGAAATAGGAAGATGACTTTTAAACTCAAGTTAGTAGTTAAACTAGTTCAATGAACATAGACAAAGCAATTGTACAGTGTAAATAGAGCCTTTTCACTTAAATTGTGCTTTTCTAAGTTACTAGTAAAGATATTTGCTTTGTAACAACATCAAAACGCTTAGGTATTGCTAAAATGACGTCTTTATATTCCATTTTTTTCTGGTTATCACTGTACTTCAAAACAACAGAGAATTTTGTTAATTTTGTAACAACCTTTTTCGAGTCTTTAGATGTCCAGAAATCATATGGTCATGATGATTTCAAAATTACAAAATAATCGTCCTAAGCTGACAATAAAATAGTTGGAATTAATAGATTTGTTTAGGATTTTTCCTGATTAATCTGTGTATAATAAACGAGGCTGGGACTGATAATGCAGTATTCGGAATATCTCTAGCTGCTAAAACAGTCAGTAACGTTTCCTGGTATATCATGTGGTATCAGGCTTTAGAGGTCAGTAATATTTCCTGGTATATATGATGTGGTATCAGGCTTTAGAGGTCAGTAATATTTCCTGGTACATATAATGTGGTATTAGGCTTTGGAGGTCAGTAATATTTCCTGGTATATAAAATGTGGTATTAGGCTTTGGAGGTCAGTAATATTTCCTGGTATAATGTGGTTTTAGGCTTTGGAGGTCAGTAATATTTCCTGGTACATATATATAATGTGGTATTAGGCTTTGGAGGTCAGTAATATTTCCTGGTATATATAATGTGGTTTTAGGCTTTGGAGGTCAGTAATATTTCCTGGTACATATATATAATGTGGTATTAGGATTTGGAGGTCAGTAATATTTTCTGGTATATATAATGTGGTATTAGGCTTTGGAGGTCAGTAATATTTCCTGGTATATATAATGTGGTATTAGGCTTTGGAGGTCAGTAATATTTCCTGGTATACATAATGTGGTATTACAGTTGCCTACCGCCCTCAGAAGAGAAGGGCTCTCTTATAGCAGTCCCGGCTTTACAGTTAAGTGGAGCGCTGCGTTTAGTTGCACATCTCGTATCCTACAGGGGAAGTAAGGAATGTACATAGAATAAAACAAGACTTCATCTTCATCCTGGTGTAACTGAAAGAAGGAGTTTAATTCCTGATGGGTTTAAAAGCAATGCAAAACGATACGGGTTTTACTTGACCAGCTGTGAGGACAGGACTGCTATGGAAGATTCCTCTCAATGGGGCTTTTGGGCTTACAAGGTTTGGGTGCAGTTATGGGTTTCCTTAATGCCCCTTAAATCGGAAAGAGTATAACAGAAGGAACACAGGGAGCAATTCCCTATACTCTTCCTTCTACAAACCTAACTTATCTCTCTCCTACCTGCTCCACAACTTGTTGTCAAAAAAACTATTTGGAGAGGCCTCAAGTGTAGAAACAAGATAAACAAGAAGAAAGAAGAAAATTTTTGCCCACAAAAAGTCAATATAGAGTTCCGAGAAAAGAAAACAAGATCCTTTAAAATAGTTCATTCTTGTAAAGTGACAAACTACAAAAAATCTTTTCTTTTAATTTTCAAAATTAGCTGAAATATGTTTAAAAAATGTACAAACAAGAAGAAATTGAAGAACAAGAAATATATAAATCTCAAAGTATTTCCATCTGATATCATATAGATATTCAAAAATATTTTAAAGCTTAATTAAAATAAATTTTCAAAGTTAAAAATAATGTGGTCAGTCATCTTTCCTGGTATTTCATGTGGTATCAGGCTTTAGAGGTCAGACTTGTCCTGCTAGTTTTCTATCTTTATGAATTAAGGAATTGAATTTTTGCCATAAACTCAAACATACCTATACCTTTGCAACCTAAAGGTGTAAATCTTCAATATTTCAAACAAAGTATTTAATCTGACAGAATTCATCAATTTCAAATATCAATAACATTCGGTTGCAGAGAAAAATAATAGTTTGTGGCGAAAACTCTTTCACTCATCTAAAGCAATTATTTAATCATGTTTATTTTTACTTAAAGGAACTGTAAAGTAAAAATGAAAGATTTTGTTTAAGATTCATAATATTAAACAGATCGTATTCAACAAATGTGCAACCAATCTGAAAACAACGATATTCCAGAGGAGCCTGAGAAACTCATTTCTTATAGTTATAATTGATAATATTATTTATGTGTCCGGAACATGTCACCAGAACTCCAACCAATGGCAGAGCAGTATTATTGTCATGTGTCTCCGTCTGTATCACATGACTAGTATACATCACTGCCATTGGAGGGAGTTCTTGTCACATGATACGGACGTATATCTTACATATATACGTTTTGGTATAATTTTGACACAGTTTTATGTCAATTTTTCAAGACAGGAACATCTGATAGATGTCTTATAGGTATCGTTCAACTCAGGTTTCAGCTTATACCCTCGTTCATTTTTCCTTTCCAGTCCCTTTAACAACTTTATTAATATAAAATCATCGACGATTTTATATTGTTATATCGACTGGTGTGAATGTTTAACTGTTTTGTCTAGGTGTTCCCTAGCTGTTTAAGAAATACTGGAATAAACATGAGCAAACTAGTTTCACTAACAGTTAAAATGTCTACCCCCTACACCGTTAAATTGGTAAGATTTTTTAAAATCGAATTCCAGGAGCGTTTTGAGGGTATTTTGGTCATTTGTGTGCCATAACTCTAATATTTCTGAGAGTGAAAATTTATCTTTAACTTATCAACGTTAATTTAACTACCTTAACTGTTCAAGTAAAAGTTCAAGTGTAAAATTTTCAAAAAATAAGTAAACACTAAAACCCAGACTTTTTTAGCTTTAAGGGAAAAATTATGGACATTTTTAAGACACAAGTAGTCCTTTAGGGATGGAGTTTAGCAAACATATCTTCTTGAGTTATCTCGCATTAATTCTAAACTTAATTTGAGTGAATAATGTAAAAAATATTGATTCTTGTTAAAACCTAGGATAAGGTAGACAAACGCCTCCCTTATGTTATCTTTGTTTGTCTTGGCGTAATCGGAACTATAGCCAGCTTTTTAGGTATTGTGGGTAATTTATCATTATTATTATTATTTTTATTATTATTATTCTCATCATTTTTATCATTATTATATGGATTATCGTCATTATTATTATAATACCATTATTGTTATCATTTATCATTATTTTCATTATTATCATTATCATCACTGTTATCAATATTATCATCAAAATCATTATTATCTTTAACATTATTACTATTATTACTATCATTTTTATCATTATTATCACTGTTATCATTATTATCATTATTATCATTATTATCATTTCAATCTGCTTTCTCCTTTTCTTTCCCCCCTTCTCCCGTATTTTCGTTTATTACCTTTCATGTACAGTTTTCTTTCACCTTTTTTTTCTCCTCTTCTCTCTTTTTCTTGTTTTTTTCCCATCCCTTCCTTACCTTCTCCCTTTTCTCCCACCCTCCTCCTTCACAGTAGTTTTCTTTCTCCTTCTTTTCTCTCTCTTTTTCTCCCCTTGTGTTTATTTTTCCTTCAATCTCTAATCCTTGCCATTTCCTTTTTTCCTTTCTCAATTTGCTTATCCCTTTTTTTCATAAAATTGTGTTTTGTCCAATTTTACCTTATTTTTCTACTTTTTCCTTTTGATCCATGTCCACTCTCTCCTTATTTATATAATGTAAAAATTCAGTAATAAAAAAATTATTTTACATATAAAACTATCCTGTTCCAAACAAAACAATGCAGTACGGTTAGCATAGCAATTTGCAGTACGGAAAATAAAGGATTTTTAGCTACCGTTCCTAACAGCTGAGCGTAAAATATTTGGATGTGTTTGTAAACTTCAGGTATTCAGGTAATGGTATTCGGGTATGGATGCTCTTGAAAACAAACTAAAATTAGTATACATGAAAGGTTGACATACCAAAATTCAGATGGGAAAACCAAAATAAAAATTTAAAAAATACCGCATACGCTTTTCTGACCCAGCAGTGTGCACCAAGATACCGTGCAATAATAGATAAAGATAGATTGCGCATAAGACGACATTTTTCATCTTGAAAGATATAAATGTACAGAGATGTTTTAAAGATATTCATATTATATAGATTAACTAGGTCGGTTGTGAACATTGGCTGTTCTTATGTCATTGAGTACTTGTGGTGTACATGAGTTCTGTAGAGAGAAATTTAAGTTAGTTTAGTCCTTCTCATGTACTTCTTCAGTTCTTGTCAATATGATATATTGCTCAGTGAAATATTGTTGTTCAAATAGTTCCATTTCCGGAGTTATTTTACACTCTATTATGAAATCCATTAAACCATCAAACCACCCCGCTTATCATTGAAGTACACTTTGACCCCTAGAAGTACGAGTTCGGGGACTGTACAATTCTTGGTTATTTTGCGTACATAAGCTATCTATGTTTATTTATTTATCTATGCGTGCATCGTGTACTACTGAATTTTTGCTTTGTACTTTCTACTTTGAACTGTGTACTGTAAACTTTTTATTGCATGGTACGGTACTGTATACTTTATTCTGTATACAACATGTACTATGTAATTTTCCCTGTATACTGCGTGATACTGTATACTAAGCACTATATACTGTGTGCTATGTATTTTCTAATGTGTACTGTACAGGCGAATGAAACTGTTCGAGCTGAGAGCCTGGGAAACTGATGATAAGAAACCAGAAGAAACGGAAGAAAGAAAATTGTCCTAAGTAACAACTTTAACTTCATTCTAGCATTGATCATATTGATCTTCTTTGTATGTAACTTATAATAACACCGAAGTATGCAACATTTATACATAATACATATATATTTAATAAAATATTTAATCCCATTCAACCCATGCACTTGTACAATCGTTATAATCTATCTGAAATGCCCAGCGTTGTCCGTGGAACTTTCATAAATCGTCCTGTCCTTGGCATAAAGACTTCCTCGTAAATGATTCCTTTTCTACAGGGTGTCCGCGAAACATGACAGTTGAGGGACGAATAGACGATCGTCTTTAATCTTTTAAATAATTTGCAGCATTCTGTCAACTTTCGTTGGTTTGGTTGTAAATCCTGTATGTTTCCTCTAGAGAGGGGGACAAATGCAAATATTATCATTTTTGCAAAATCTCTCTAATTATTACGGGCTGGTAAGTGGTAACATATATACATATTCTGACACTTTGCTTTATCTACTTTATGATATATGAATATATAAACATAATTTAGCTTGACGTAAAGTCTACATTTCTTACCGATTTGGTCCTTGTCCCAGCAAGGTGTGACTTTTGATCACAATTTGACCAATTTTTGATATTTGATATATTTAGTATATAAAATTAAATTGAATTCAAATTAAATTAGTCTAAGGGGACTTCAACGGTACAAAAATAAACTATTTAGTTTCCGGTCAAAGGGTTAGAAGCAAAGAGAATAGAATATATATTAGAGTGGAATTTACTAGAAAAAAGTGTAAAACGGCCATTTTGTTGTACTGTTTCCATACTGCAGGTGTACTTCACATATTTATGCTATATAACTTTTTGGACCCTGGAATATCATTTTATAGAAAATCTAAAATTAATGTTAAAAGAAAACGAAATTATAAAATAGGCTGGTTTCATAATTGACCAATGATCATTTCACATAGACTCTATGCCTTTCACTTTATAAACGATGATTTTCCGTTATTACTATAAATCAAATGATGTTTGTTATTCACCTTATTCATTATAAAGTTTATTTAACAGCTTTAAAAAATTCGAAATTGAAAGAAATAGTCCAGGGAACATACTGTATTAATGTACTCTACTGCATATAATTTGTGAACATTTACATGATTTGTACACTTTGAACTCCCTTTCACGCTAAAAGGGACTGACAAAATTCATACCGAGAGATTTTTTTAATTCCCCTCTAATATATATTCTATTCTCTATGGTTAGAAGAAAAAGCAGGTAACTATTTTCTGATTCCTTTTCTTTCTGAACATATTGGTCGAGTGAGTGTCTTGATTTGATATTTTCTGTTTTTGTTGTTCTTCTCTCTAGGTTCCTTGTCAAGCTGATTGAAGTGGAAAAATTGAAAATATTTTATATTTATTTATTGACCGAGCAGAGCTGAGGCACGGGACAAGAATTTGCTGAAAAACTGCTGAAAGGTTTTAAATACGTAATTTTAAACGAGACTCTGTACTACATGTTTTCAATCTGAACACCTCTTATTCAAGAGTTATTAAGAAGAAAAAACTAGTTTTGAATTTTTGATACATAACTGGATAGCTTTGTTATTCTCATACGTGTCCATACAATCAAAATTAGAGGAGATCCGAGAGGTCACAAACACGCGTACCATCAAGCACATAGATTCAGTCTGCTTTTAAACAAGTCTCGTCAATCATTAAGTCAGGGTCGACTCTGAAGTGTCGCAACGCCGTAGGCTTAAACTGCACCGCTCTAACTCACTTCTGCTTTTCTGTAGCCTTTTACATGTACAGTTTAGTATTATAAAGCACTTGTTGTTAGCTTTGGTTTTTAAGAAGTAATTGGCAAAATTCTCATAGATTTTTGCTTAAGATCTTTAAATCACAGTGCCAGTAGAGGTGGCATAAATTGAACCTTCTCCTCCTGCCGGCCTAGATGAAAATGAAGTAAGTAGACACATTTTACGTAAGTGTTAGGTTCAAAATAAATCCCAAAACCCGCTGACTTCATTTACTTACTTTCATCTAAAAACTCATATTCTTTTATGAAATTTTACTCTTAACCCATTTTTAGTTTAAAACATGTTAAACATTTGTAGTTTTTAAAGATTGATTTTTGAATTGTAATTAGATTTTATTATGCTTTAAGCATTTAAACACTTCTTTTTAAAAATCATACTTTTGAGAGTTAGAGTTCAAATTCCTTAACTATATACTGTTATAATTGGGTTAAAATAATCTCGCAACCTCTATGATTAATGTCACCGTAAGCTATAAGCATGAAGTTTAGGGACCGTAGGGTGTCCCATGAAACATGACAGTTAAGAGACAACCTGAAAATCGTCTCTGATCTTTGAAATAATTTGCGGCATTCTTTCGTCCACCTAATATTACCAGTAAGATTCTTGAACCAGAAAATACGAAAATCTTCTAATCCTGTCATTTTCTAAATGTGCACTTAGCTGTTTCAAGGGACACCCTGTATGCAATATATTTATGGTTAAAATTACAGTTTTACAAAATAAAGATATAAGAAAAAATAACAAAAGATTAATTTGATTTTTAATTAATATATGTTAACTGAGATCAGATGGCATTTTTTATACTAGCTTTGCCTGCCATAAAGTATCATTTGTTTTCTTTGAAACAAACCGTGTAAAAATTTCGCAGATGTCACTGATCGGATATTTACAAGATTTTTTGTGGTCAAAATTGCAGTTCCTTTAAGAAGATTTTCAATCCTATGTCCTGAACACTCCTGTATGCCGAGTCCATCAGCGCCTGATCCAATCAGGGTCAGTCATGTGTTTGATGTATATTTTGTACCAATAGAAATAGTATGGCGGTAACATCTATCTTTCTATCTATCTCATTATCCAATCAGAGTTATGAATCCTTCAATCGGCGCTATCAGTAAATGGAAAAATTTACTTCTACTGAAACTATGTCCTGTAAGGCCAATTTACCACTCCTGCGATCATGTGAGGTCCCAGAAATATAGACCCATTTGTTTATTTGTTTCTATGTTTATTGGAACTAAAGAAAAAAAAGTACATTTAACATAAATCACTGTTAGTGTGAACTAGATGGACTAAGGCGAGATTTACGCAACAGTACCGGTACGACTTTTGGACCTCGTAGCTCCTCTTAATTCGAATTTAAGCACAAGTTATAGAGGCACAAAAGAAGAGAAGTATTTGATTGAAAACAATTTAATCTTACGTGCAATTTACTTTAGTTTGGCGTGTCCCATTTGGTTCATCTGTTTCGAGGTTTATTGGAGCAAATAAACATAGATCTTTAGATCATACGTCGCATTTTACTTCCAAGACATAAAAGCATAAAACAAACTTGTTTGGTCGGATTTAAAGTTACAAATCTATTTCTTATTGGTAGCTAGGTCTAATTTAAAGGGACTCTCTGCGTGATTTCTTATTGGTAGCTAGGTCTAATTTAAAGGGACTCTCTGCGTGATTTCATGTAGCTCTCAATAAAAAAGCATTGCATTCCTCATTCACAACGGCACCCTTAAAATCTTTATAATTATAAATTGGGAAGATTTGTGTTTAATAGATGGAAATTCTATTAATTCCCTTCCTTTCTTATTTTTCAAAAATCCTCAAACCATTTTCATAATGAACCGATATTAGGTAGATAAACAGGGATAATTTTATTATTTTGCTCTGACAAAAGTTCAACGGGTACAATTGTTAATCGGACACGCAATTTTTTCTTTTTAATGGTGGGTCACTTGCAACTACGCGGGACAGAAGCACTCTTGTATGCCGAGTCCATTAGCACCTGATCCAATCAGGGTTCAGTCATGTGTTTGGTGTCTATTCCGAACCAATAGAAATTGAATGGCGGTAACATCTATATTTCTATCTAGCTCATTATCTAAATCCTTATATCGGAACTATAACAGTAAATGGAAATATTTACTTCTACTGAAACTATAGTGAAGGAAATGAAAGTAACCCGAAATTAAAGAATTTGAGCCGCGGCTCAAATATAGTTGGTTCCACTTAAAATTTGTATTAAATGTTTGAAGATTTAAGCTGTCGATCCATTAAGTCCGGTTTTTGGTGGATTTGAGACGCAGCTCAAATTCATTAAATTAAATGTTTAAACTATTACGGATTGAAATAAAATTATTCTTAATCTGAGTTTCCGTTGAGTTCACACGTTAGTTAGTTTAGTTAGTTCCCACTACAGGGGTCCACTTTTAAGAAGGGGGGGGGAGGGGACACTTAAATGGGTAATGAAATTAGGAGGGAATTTAAAGGGGAACAAACAATTGGTGGGGGTTGGTGTATTCAAACAATATTTGCTTTTAAAGGAAAATGTTTTGAAAGGAGTTCAATTTGTTGATTATTATTATAATATTGGAGTTCATTCCTCTACAGTCTACATGCATTCATTCATTCATTCGTCCTTTCATTCATCCATTCATTCACTCTTCTTTTTATTCATTCATCGTTACATTCTTTATTTTCATTCATCCATTCATTCATCCTTCCATCCTTGTATTTATTTGTTCAGAGCTCACTTTAAGTTAAAGTAAGTTTAACGATGAAAACGATGAATAATGAAAATATTCCATTATTTAATCTTGTTTTCTCTTTTTTTAACAGCTATTGAGAAGAAAAAGAAAGAATTTATGATATCTAACCAAAAAATGGTAAATTCAAAACTATACATAATTTTAACCTTTCCCTAGCTATGATGCCAGATTGAAGTGGCAGAGATTTTTATAAAATGGTACGCTGGAATCAATGAAACTTTTAATTTCCGTAAGAATTTTACGCGACGAGGGTTTTTCAAGAATCCTTAAAAAAACATCTGACGAAAATCTCGTTTTTATATATTATTAAAAGATGACAATTCTACGTTAAAAAGAAAAGTTGGTAAATAGAAGGAACGCGAATAATTGTTGAATTGTATATTTAAACTTGTAATGATTTGTATAGAAGAGATTTTTGTTGGTTTATACAGCTAACTATGCACTAAACACACTAACTAAGCGTGCCCTTCATGTTTGCTAAAAAAATACCGTAGAAAAGTATTTTGTCCTAAAATGTCATTTTAAGCTCCGGGCAAAAGACATTGTGTCTTATGTAGGTATGTTTTCTTTCCCAAATAGACAGGAATTGAATAAATTTAACATTTTTAGTTTTCTTGAAAAAAGAGCAAAATTTTTAGTAGATCACAGATGCCATGTCATTAACCTCAAATCAAGATGAGACTCCTTCCTATTCCTTTCATACAGTAAAACTCTAAATAACCTGAAATAATGTAGAGTCATTGATAACTACAAAGTCGTCTTTGACATTAGAAATAGTTTGCGGGATTCAGCATAGGTAACCTGATTTTTGCAATATTTTTTTTATGAAACGATAATCACAGAATAACCTTATTCCTGCCATTTCCAATATATACAGGGTGTTTCTTTACAACTAAAATATTTGATTTCATTGAAAAATGCGCAAAATTGGGTTAAAAAATTCGGGAAATTGACCCGCTTGAAGGGACATTTTATATTTGGTTGAAAAAAATGGCTTCAGTCAGAATTGAAAGGTCAATTAGCCCTTTTACTGAAGAGGAGAAAATCTGGATTATCCTGGGATATGAAAAACTTTGAAATGAGCTTCAGGTTTGCCCAGCATTCAGGTTAAACAGTTAATGCTCAACCTGATACTAATGAAGAGCTTAAAATGATTGTGGAAAAGTTTGCTGTTTCCCTGCAGCCTGCAGAAAGTGTGTCAGTCAGATCCCGCCAGAGTCTATATATCTCTAAATGGAGCCAATATATCTCTAAATGGAGCCTATATATCTCTAAATGGAGCCAATATATCTCTAAATGGAGCCTATATATCTCTAAATGGAGCCAATATATCTCTAAATGGAGCCTATATATCTCTAAATGGAGCCAATATATCTCTAAATGGGGCCAATATATCTCTAAATGGAGCCAATATATCTCTAAATGAGCCTGTTTCGACTCGAGTCACAGCTAAACCAACTTAGAAAAGTTCGTTAAAGCATAAATGTCCCAATCTAGTTTAACAAATAATATATCTATTGCAAGATTATCAGGTCGTTTTATTTAAAATATAAGCAAATCAAAAAAATCAGTTGTAGAGAAACACCCTGAAGTCTGCAATTTTTTTTCTCTCAAAAATGCCACAGATATTAAGAATCATGTTTAAATTTCCATTAATTGAATATAACCATGAACATATCTTATGCTGAACGAAATCATTCATGTCTCCGGTGATTATGAAAGCAGAAAAACATCAGACAACATTTTGGAAAGGACAGGACTACTGCTAATCTGGGATTATACTTTCATACAAAAAATATTG